ATCTTAAGTACTACTATCGTCTATCTTTGAGATTGAAAGCGAAGCGGCAATTAAATTCGAGACAATATGAAATATGTTTTTCTCCCCCTGCCAATCGAATGAGTTCGACTCCGTTTCCTGCGACAGTCTTGACAATGAATAGGCGATATTTTCTTGTCCTGGCTTATTTTACTACCTTTCAATGCGGTCTGGAGGTCTGGAGGTGGGCTTAAATATTGCATCAAGAGGCTTGTGGTCCGTTACTAAGTCAAATTCTAGACCGATCAAAAAAAATAAAATTTTTCTACCGCCCAGACTAGCACAAGACTTTCCTTCTCTGTTTGGGAGTATCTTTTCTCTACATTTTATAAACTCTTGCTGGCGATCTAGATAATACGGGAAGTTTTATCTTAGTCTAGTTGCACCAAAACAGCCTCTAATGCTACTGGACTTGCGTGCGCAATCAATCTTGTCCGATCTGTTAAGGTAAAATAGGATAGCGAAACGTTCTCTTTTAACTGTTTAAAAGCTAAGTTCTGCACCTCGCCCCGTATAAATTTCTCGTTCAATTGGAGCAATCCGCTAAATGGCTCTGTAGTATCCGCCAAATCAGTTATAAAATTTCCAATATACGGGACTGTTGAACCAATAAGCTTTTTATCTGTCATTGCAAAGTTAAAATACGAAATTTTGCGTTGTTTTATGCTTGTTAACAATTTATTAGCGAAAGAGTACAGCAGACCTGACGAGAGTGCAATTTGCTGCTGCGGCTGAGTGACCCGATATACTCCCCCCGTTGGAAGCCTGGGCTTCAACATCATCCTTAAGAGTAGCAGAGCTTGCTCAGCTGCACAGCTTATTTACTGCTCGCATTGTCACTCTGTTAAGTTAAGTTTAGATTGGTCACATCCGGCTCGACGAAAGAGGATGGCGGACCACCATTCAAAAAATGTGCTGGGTTTAATTCATCCAGATCAGCGGGGTTATCTGAAATCGCGTCTAATGGTCGAGAATTAACAACCTCCGAAATGTGACACACCAGGATCCGCAACTCCTCAAAGTCTAAAGCAGCAGTGCCAACAGCGCGGTAGAAATGATGCTTAGCAATCTTCACAGCCGCTTCCCAAAAACCGCCAGGGTGTGGCGAACTAGGAGGAATGAAGCACAAATCAATAGCCTTCGCTAGGCAAAAGTCCAATGTAGCTCTCTGATGATCATTGCTGAGGAATAGGCGCCTTAGTTCGTGGAGTTCATTGCAAGCGCCAACAAAGTTGGTTGCATTATGGGACCAAATCTGTCGTGCCCTTCATCTAGTGCATATAAATCGTTTGAGGCCATGTAGAAACGACGATAGAGAGATCCTTGATGAACTCCAAACGAATAGCCTTTGTGGCGAAACAAATGAAGACACATACGTAGCATTTACTGAAGGCTTGCTTCGCACCTCTGACTTGTAGAGAAATGGCCCGCAAAAGTCAATGCCAGTGACATCCACTACTAGAGGCTTCATTCGAAAGCATCTAACACATTTGTTTACTTCCTTGTCATGGGTAAATTTATGTATGACCTTTCGATTTGTGTATGACAATTTCATTACCAAACTAATTTTTTTGAATCCTTTTTATAAAATAAAATAAGTACATATTTATATTAAATTAATATTTATTTTTTGTTGATTTATGTTTGTTTCAAATTGTGTTATTTAGGTTTTCCATTAACGTAAAATTATTGTTAATAAGCCTTGTTTTTTTCTTTGTTAACTTATTTGTAGCCTTCGACATCAGCTTACTCAAACATGTGTTCAAGACCTGTGAATCCTTGGCCAACGCTCCTGAAAAAATGTAAGGGCCTACGTTTAAAAAATATGTTTTACTTGTATATTTACCTTTTACAGCTGTATATATCCCTTTTGCGGGATATTTGTTGGCACAAAACACTTCATCATGTCGCTTTCGACTAACGGAACCAGAAAAAAACACCTTAAAAATGTACTTACTTTAAACTAGGATCAATACACAACATGTTAAACTTAACGTAACGCTTACCTGACTTTATCGTGTTTAATAAATATCACTTTTAATAAGAAAATTATTATGGCTCGCTACGCACAATTTAAGCAGACTGCTTATCTTTTAATAACACTAACAGAATGCACCAAGTCTACTTCTCACCCCTTTTCAAGATTTCTTTTATTTCACTGTTGCTATATCCTCTCTAAAGCGAAACATATCCTAGTACTCAGATTGGCTAAGAGTTTCAGTTTAAAAGTTTGTAGTGTGACCGATGTTTTTAAAGTTCACCAGCAAGGCATCTAGCATGGACTTACTGTCAAGCCGCTGGGTGTGTTGCCAAATGGAAGACAAATCAATTTGAGCAATTAAGCACAGAAATTAAAATAAATATAAATGGAATGTTCGACGCATGTTTTTATTTATGTAAATTAGTAGTTTAAAGCTTCCTTCTCGTCCCACGGATGCTTCCTAATTTTTCTTTCACCATCTGTAGTTCAGCTCCGAATCCTAAAGGGCATATTGGACCTTAAGGAAGGGTTTCTTCCGCCTGTAGCAGCAGGAAGTCGGCTTTTCCAGCTGGGCGTTTTTTTTTAATTTTTTATTTCCACGCCGCTTTTCACGAGCACCACCAAATATTAAATTCTTAAGCCTAGTACTCAGATCGACGAAAACCGCGAGCTAGCTATAGAAGTGAGCGAGAGGCAAATTCGCGGCTAACGCTTCTCGTCCGGTCTCTTTTTCAGCGCGGTACTCAGATGAGCTAAGGAAATACCAGAAAAAATACCAGATTTCGCGAGTGAATTTTCGATGAACGCCGTTAGCCGCGGACCAAAGAATAAGAAATTTAATCTTTGGCGGTGTTCGTGCAAAGGCGATGTAGAAACAAAAAATTAAAAATGGAAGGAGAACCCCAAAATCGGATGCAGGAGATCAGTGCAGATGAAATAGGACCCCATATCCAAGATTATGCCCTTTATTGTGGAATTTCACCGACAGAAAGCAATTCCACAAAAGGGGCGAATTCGCAGAACAGTTGAAGTGCTGGATGGGAAGGAACATGCCGAGTGGGACATCGATTTCTACATGGACATCCTGCCGGGCGCTTCCTCGCAAAGAAAGTAAGATCTGGCCAAATGAATTTGGTTGCGTTGTATCCTTTTAGCAGAACCGCCAGTAATACGATCTCCGACGACCTCTCCATTAGGACTTCGGATTCCACCACCACCAGCTACTTGGCAGCTTAAGCGAATCTGGAGGACCCGCTGGCTTCTATAGGGAGGAGGAAAATAGGGCGCCCGCTAAGGAACAGTTGGAGAAGCCATAGCCAGCCACTGCCAACCCCGTTCTCCCACTTCCTCAAGGTCCAATATGCCCATTGGGACTCGGAGCTGGACTACGGTGGCGCGGAAAAGAATGCGAAGCATCCGTGGGACGAGAAGGAAGCTTTAAACTACTAATTTACATAAATAAAAACATTCGTTGAACATTCCATTTATTTTGATTCTAATTTCTTTGTATACCAGCAGACTTCTCCTTTTTAAATTTCTCCAATTGATTTGTTTTCCGTTTGGCAACAAACCCAACTGCTTGACAGTAAGACCATGCTACATGCATTGCGGGTGAACTTTGAAAACTTCGGTCACACTACAAAGAATAAGATTTTTCGACTAGTGAACCTCTCAGCCGATCTGAGTAATAGGCTTTATTATTTGCCCCGCGGCTAACGGCGTTCATCGAAATTCACTCGCAAAGTCTGGTATTTTTTCTGGTATTTCCTTAGCTCATCTGAGTACCGCGCTGAAAAACAGACCCGACGAAAAGCGTATTTGCCCCTCGCTTACTCCTATGGTCAGCTCGCGGTTTTCTTCGATGTGAGTACTAGGCTTTATACATGGCTTTTATACATGTCTACGATTGCTATGCGCAAAGGTGCAGTTGCGGTGGTAGCCGATTTTATTTATTTTCTGATAGTTTTATATTTAAATTATTTTCTATTTTCGTCGTTATTATGTGTCATGAGCGTTCAGCAAAACCAACTTGATCACTGATAACTGATCCATCAGTAATCAGTTATAATGTTGTTCTGCTAAACACGGCCATTTCCCCCTCAAAAAATCCCGAAACGACAAGTGCAAAAAACACCCAAGCTCGTAAAATATACTGATCAAAACACTGGAATACTGAATCGACTTGAGTGTGTGGTCCCTACACCGCGAGTTTTAGCGACTTTTTCCCGTCTCTTTCTACAAGTATATATTTTATGGAGGAAAAAGTAGCTGAAAAGGAATTTGGTCGCTGAAGCGCAAACCCCATGTGTGTGAACAGGCCTTTGGTGATGGTACTACCAAAACACGAAAATGACATAAAAATTTATAGAACACAAAATTAATACAACAAAATCTGAAGGAAATGTACTGTCATAATAAACATATTGAACAGAGTATTTCATATTTTTATAAGACAAAAAAATAAAACTAAAAATTATATATATAAAAGTAGCAAAAAACCAAAAATTGTGCGGTTTTTACCGATATTTTCCGAAATCCCGCTATTTGCGTCAACTTTGACTATTTTTCCTGTAATCAGGATCCAAAAAAACGTGAATATGAAAAATATTAACGAAATTGGAGGTTGGAGCTAATCGAAAATTTACCCCGAGTTTTATTGTTTTGTCCTAATTTATACATAAATACTACTTAAGACGCCGATGTATTACTTGTATTGTATTTTACAAAATAGGGAAAAACAAGTTTTTATACTCGATTACATTTTTACTGCGCTCTAATGAATGAAAAAATTTTTATTTTTAGATTATATTTTCCTCATTGACCTATTGTATTGTATTGAGGTATATTAAAAAATACCAGAACTGCCTATTGGATCTTACTCATAAATTTCCCATTAGAGCTGACACATGTCTGCCTTGCTCGAAGTCTCCGAAAATTGTATAGTCTGAGAAAAATTATTCTAATGAATGAGCCGAACAATGTCGTAGAATAATCGCAAAAGCAAAGTAATACATTGAGGAAATAAGTTCTACACCTATAACAACCCCCGACGGCTGCATCGTTTGAAAAGTGCAGTAGCTTTCAGATTCATTAATTGTTACAGTTGTTGCAAATATTTAAGCAATAGCATGAAGCATATATATATGTCAACTCCAAGATAGACTGCGGACATCACACGAAAAAAAACTATGCGTGTTCCCTTTTTGCGAACCTCTCGCACTCACACTTACACAGACGAGCTCTCTCCGCTCTTAAAATCGCCTATTTGTTGCTGGCCGCTGTGCATGTTTTGCTAATATTAATATATGTATAGTGCCAGCTAAGAATCAGTAGTCGCCGCGGCATCGACGTGTCAGTTTGAAGCAAAATATATTAATCGCACCAATCTAGTCGCAAAGTAGCTCCAAGAAAAACTAACGAGCAAAAACAAAAATACAATGGCGGAAAAAGTAAATGTGTGCATTGTGGGCTCCGGCAACTGGTGAGTGCATTTAATTAGCTGTCAGCAGATGCACTTACATAGTAACCTCCACTAACATTTTCACTCCCACCTACATCTTAACCTTGTGCCCGCAGGGGTTCGGCCATAGCGAAAATCGTGGGTGCCAACGCCGCCGCTCTACCGGAATTCGAAGAACGGGTGACCATGTTCGTCTACGAGGAGATGATTGAGGGCAAAAAGCTGACGGAGATTATTAACGAGACGCACGAGAACGTCAAGTACCTGAAAGGACACAAGCTGCCACCGAATGTGGTGAGTGCTTTACAATTTGGGGCCAAAGTTGATTATTAAGCTTATGTAACTGCTGCGTATTGTTAACACCACTTGCTTACATAAAGGCTATATGCCTTGATCTTGGCCGTGCAGCGAGAATTATCTAATCAGTCAAATACGCGTCTATTTTTACATCCGCTCCCGCTCTCTAACGCTGCGCTCTTGCTGCACTTCTCAGGGCCAGCCGAGCAGCAACATCACCTCTGGCTCCACCTTGACTCTCTTCTCCACCCTCTCTTGAAAGAGAGCCATACAAGTGACTTTGACGTAGGTCAAGGCCAGTAGGTTTGCAGAGCTGCCACACTTGCCACAATATGTTCTATTAGCTGAGAAGCAGTCGTCAGCGTTCCTACACATGTACTTGCTGCCCAAATAATTCGAATTGTTCTGTTTGGCAATTACAGATAAGCCCAAATGGTTTGGGAGATAAAGTCCATCTATACAAAGTCTGATGTGAGGGTCAGTAACTCATTTCCAACCACATTCTTTGTTTGCCCTATAAACAACCTTATATTTCGCTTTGCTTAGGTAAAAACCTATGGGTACATAGACCTACAATCGTACATTAGAGCCGTGTGTTGGCGGCATGGTTTATCAACGGGAACAACAAAATCAAGAAGAAATTTGGGTGAGACTTTTATGCCGCGGCGTTTGTTTGTCACTATAATTCACACAGATGGATGTGTATATTTAAATATTTTGGCAACAACATTTTACATAAGAACTTTTGTAGGTTGAATGTGCGATTATCGTGACCCCTTACCTCGTTAAGAGGTGTTTTTGTTTGGTATCAGAAGTTTTTCTTTTAAAGATCAATTATAAAATGGGAGTTCTATTCGATTTTGCTGTAATAGCTATTGTAATAGCATTTATTAAAATCAATTAGGGTATTCAATTGCGTTGCAATCGTTTGAAAAGTGTAAAAGTGTAAGCAGTTCCAACAACAATTTCCATACAAAATAGTTTTCAAGGCCTACAACACCCCAGCCTATGTATACAAATCTGTTGTACTTGTGTAGAAATAGGGGGTTAATAATGGGTAAGAATTTTATCTAAAATACTAAAAATATACTGAAAAGTGGGGTTTTAATGACAGAAATTATCATAGCCTTCTTTTCACAAAAATTTAAAAGTTGGCGTTATTTTGTACGTCAATTTCCTGCAACGATATTTTAAAATAGAGGGCGTTCACAATTCTCGTCTGGCAAACTTACAAAGTTTACACTTCTGCAACGCAATTGAATACCCTAAATATAAATATTTCCGTTGGCAAGGCAACGTCCACTTGGGTATTAAATCCCGTTCATTATTATAGAAACATTTTTCTGAGAACATAAATAAAGTATGTGTAGTTAGACATCAGAAATTTAACCTACCAAATTTTCCGGACTTTTAATAATTAATGTACAAGTTTTAGCCAATGACAAGCTTATGAATGTTTTTCATTTACTTGAAAAATATTTCATTAAAATGTTGTCTTCGGCATTCCAAAAAGCATGAAAGATTTTTCATACTGAACTGAATCGAGTTTTTCTTTTTATCGCTCAATAACTTCCAAACGGATATTTTTGTCCAAAAATGCTAAGAATCAAAAAATAGGGAATCTCCAGGGCTAAATAGTTTGAAATGTAAAAATAAATCGTTTTAAAGAACTTGGAGAAAATTGGCAATATAAATCTATTGCATTTAGAGAATTTAAACAAAGGAGCGTGCGAGCAAATTGAATTACATTTTCAGCAACATATAGCACTTATCTGTAGCGTTAATTAAAAAATATAGGCCTTTGAAATCTAGCTATTTTATTTATTTCCCGTATAACCAGCTGGTTTTTCCAAAAGTCGTAGAACAACAGTTTTCTATATCGAGCTTCTTATTACACCCATAAAAATCAAAAGACACAAAAAACCAAAAAGGCATTAATACTAACCCACAAAGCGACAAACATTTTTAATTTGAACACTCCCCAAAAACTTGATTTTAGAATAACTTTTGAAAGGAGCACTAGATTTTAAGAAATGAGGCTTGACGCGTGTTTTCAGTAAGAATAAAACTTGGCTAAGAACCTAGGGCATTTATCCCCACCGGCCACAACAGCTTCAACTTTCTAAACATTCCATTTACACTTTTACCACTTTTTCTCCCAATCCAACTGAAATTATCAAAGAATTTGTAAGTTTTTAGTTTTTGCTATAATTTCGATTGGTGTATCACCTGTTATGATGTGACCATCACTGTAGACTTTCAATTCTGCGGCTATATATAGTAGTCGCCTTCGCACAGTTTCCTGGTGCGTGTTCGTCACGACGTGGACTGCCGTGCACTGTTATGAAACATTTTTTACTTAGCACAACAGAATTTTTAAGGTTAACATTTTGAAATTTCACTACATGTCATTTAAATTTTTTTAAAGTAAGATCTTGTGTATAACCATTATCAACAACAAAAGGTTGACAAGCCAGTATGTCGATATGGAGAACATGTTAGTTAATATACATTGCATATACGTACTCAGCCAATAAATCAAGTGAGCCTTTCGATTTAAAAAGTCTAGACTGCTGCGAACGAGCCTTCACAAGTTGACTTGGAACACGTGTTGGACAAATGATATCCTCGATCCGTCTGCAGTTCCCTTCACTTAACCTTCAGCGTGCTAATCGGAATTTTTTTTGATGTTTTTTTGCTGTTATCACAGCTATTATAAAACTTTACTTTTTGCCCCACTCTACAGGTTGCTGTGCCCGACCTGGTTGAGGCCGCCAAGAACGCCGACATTTTAATCTTCGTTGTGCCCCACCAGTTTATTCCCAACTTTTGCAAACAGCTGCTGGGTAAGATCAAGCCGAACGCCATCGCTATCTCTTTGATTAAGGGCTTCGACAAGGCTGAGGGCGGTGGCATCGATCTGATTTCGCATATAATCACGCGGCACCTAAAGGTAAGTTGTCGTCGAAAAGATAAAACTGCCAGAAAAATCAATCCTTTTGAAATTTATTCACCGCAGATCCCATGCGCCGTGTTGATGGGTGCTAACCTGGCCAATGAGGTGGCTGAGGGAAACTTCTGCGAAACGACCATCGGTTGCACGGACAAAAAGTATGGCAAGGTGCTGCGCGATCTCTTCCAGGCGAATCACTTCCGAGTTGTGGTCGTCGACGACGCTGACGCTGTAGAAGTTTGTGGAGCCCTTAAGAACATTGTGGCCTGCGGCGCGGGTTTTGTTGACGGCCTGAAGCTTGGCGATAACACCAAGGCCGCTGTGATTCGACTGGGCCTTATGGAGATGATTCGCTTCGTAGACGTCTTTTACCCCGGAAGCAAGTTGTCCACCTTCTTCGAGAGCTGTGGTGTAGCAGATCTGATCACAACGTGTTACGGTTAGTGCTAAGCTGCGGAAGGATAGGTAGTCAAGCTCTAAATGTATGGTTTTGGAGTACAGTTATATTTAGTAGTTCATAAGTTCATCGTTTTCGAGTGCCAGCTATCATTTCTCGGGCAGATAAAGACTACCTACAAAGGAAATTTGGTTTTCTCGAGCGTCAATGTGACTGCTAGCTTTGACAGGGAACTATACTTCCTGCTAAGTATTTTTCGGCTCGGTAAAATGACAGCTTACCGATACTTGTTACTTGTAGAGTCTTAGGGTATACTAGATTCGTCGGAAAGTATGTAGCGGGTAGTAAAAGGCGTTTTCGACCTTATAAAGCATAAGTATATATTCTTGATAAGGATCACTAGCGGAGTAGATCGCGAAAGTTAATAAAAGTAATTGCAATTTTTGTTATGATTAGCTTTATCTATCTTCATTCTAAAAATTGTCCAAATCGGAACATCCATTAAAAAGTTATAAGCAAATAAAGAACACGACGCTAGGTGACGCTGTTTTGGGGTTTGCTAACTGTGTTTTCTACAAAGTTTCTCACAACCGAAGATGGATATAATTTTGGTTCTAATTTTTTTTTAAAGTGAATTGAAGAATTTTAGAGTTTAACGAGGGACAGGTTTTTATACCCGTTACTCGTAGAGTAAAAGGGTATACTAGATTCGTCGGAAAGTATGTAACAGGCAGAAGGAAGCGTTTCCGACCCCATAAAGTATATATATTCTTGATCAGGATCACTAGCCGAGTCGATCTAGCCATGTCCGTCTGTCCGTCTGTCTGTCCGGGTGAACGCTGAGATCTCGGAAACTATGGAAGCTACGCTATTGAGATTTGGCGTGCAGATTCCTGAGCTTCTTACGCAGCGCAAGTTTGTTTCAGTAGAGTGCCACGCCCACAAACCGCCCAAAACTGTGGCTCCTACAGTTTTGATGCTAGAATAAAAATTTTAACTGAAATGTAATGTTCTCATCAATACCTATCGATTGACCCACGCCCACCCTAACGCCCATAAACCGCCCACAAACTTCAAAAAATCGTAAATATGAACGTGGATATCTCGGAAACTATCAAAGGTAGAGAATTGGGATTTCAGATTTAGATTCCGTAGCGCAAGTTTTACGCGAATATGCCACGCCCACTCTAACGCCCACAAACCTCGAAAACCTGTGACGCCCACAATTTGTATGCTAGATAAAATATTTTAACTGAAATGTATTGTTCTCATCAATACCTATCGATTGGTCCAAAAAAAGTTTGCCACGCCTACTTTACCGCCCACAAACCGCGAAAACCTGTGACGCCCACAATTTTTATGCTAGATAGAAAATTTTAACAGAAATGTATTGGTCTCGTCAATACCTATCGACTGTTCCGAAAAAAAAATTTGCCACGCCCACTCTAACGCCCATAACGCTTAAATCTGTATACCGCCGGTAGGTGGCGCATTTTAATCTCGCTTTGCTACTTGCATATCTCTATTTAGCTGAGTAACGGGAATCTGATAGTCGAGGCACTCGACCATAGCGTTCTTCCTTGTTTTTTTTGGAAAAGTGTAAAAGCAATTCTTAATTTTCAATATCTATCTTCATGCCAAAAATTGTAAAAATCGGACCATCCACCGAAAAGTTATAAGCAAATAACAAATGGCGGGATGTGCAATTGTGAACAGTCGCTTTGCTGCATATCTCCATCTCTCTCAAACTCTCCTTAGCTGAGTAACGGGTATTTGACAGTCGATGGCATTCCGACCCCATAGAGTATATATATTTTTGATCAGTATCACTAGCCGAGTCGATCTAGCCATGTCCGTCTGTCCGTATGAACGCTGAGATCTCAAACTATAAGAGCTAGAAAGTTGGGATTTGGCATGTAGATTCTTGGGATTCAGCAGGGTCCTTTGTTTTAGCAGGGTGCCAGAGATTTTGTTCTTATTATCAGTACCCATCTACTTGTCAAAAATTATTGATATCGGACTATTCATTAAAAAGTTATAACCAAACAAAAATAAATAATTAGCAAACTGAGTAGAGTGAGAGAGGAATGCAGGTATATTCATACAGAATTACGAAATTAACTAGCACTACCTAGGTTTCACCTTATGTGGCGTGTTAGTGAAATCTCATATACAGCCGATATTAGTGAACGAGAGGTGGCGGTTTTTTGTTAGTTGAGTAACGGGTTTCTTATAGTCGACGCCGTCGGCAATAGCGTTTTGTCTTGTTTAACATTAAAATCGCAGGTAACTACCTTTGTTTCTTTTTTACTCCAATTCTTCAAAAAAGATTATAATATAAATATTTATAAAAAAAAGTACTGTAAAAGCCGATTTAAGGTTTCACAAGCCCTAAATAAGTATTACTGTATTTTTAAAGCGCCAAACTTGATATTCGCGTGAGTAATGACTTTAAACTACCCAAATACGTTGTTGGGAACTTGTTGGAGAGCTAAATGTGTACAATGTACACTGTATATTTTTAGATAAATGTGTCCTAAAACACCTAAACAATACCTTTATTTACTTTAACGGGAATAAAATAGTCCATTCACTTGTTGGTTTAAAAGATACTTCCATAGACTTAAAAAAATTAGAACCAAAATTATATATATATATTTTTTTTTAGAAAATTTGAAGAAAGCGTACGCTATCAGAGCATTCTGTTTTTTTTCTATCAGTGTAGATTCCCAACTATACTGTGCAATTTGCTTATCCTTTTACTATTTTTTAGGACAATGCCTGAGAACCATCTACCAAGGTTAAAGAAATACACCAACAAATTCTATAGAACCAATTTTATTCTAAACAATTATTTAATAAATACTTTATTATCTCACAGGTGGGCGAAATCGTCGGGTGTCTGAGGCCTTTGTGACTTCCGGGAAAACTATTGAGGAGCTGGAGAAGGAAATGTTGAACGGTCAAAAGCTGCAGGGCCCACCCACTGCCGAAGAGGTGAACTACATGCTGAAGAACAAGGGTCTAGAGGACAAGTGCGTCTAATATTATTATTAAATGGTATTCTTAGATCTGTAACAAATCTTCCTCGATTACAGATTCCCTTTGTTCACGGCTATTCACAAAATATGCACAAATCAGCTTAAGCCTAATGATTTAATTGATTGCATACGCAATCACCCTGAGCATATGTAAGTGTTTCGTTTGCATTCGTTATGGCTTGATTGCGCCTTTTTATTTCGATATCCTGTTATCTTGCCTTCCCGGAATTCCTGTGAATATTAGCCCCTTCCTTGTTACCGTAAACTTTGATTTAATATTGTTTCCTTTAGTGGCTTTATTGTATGTTTCGCTGTTTTCCCTTAAATTACATATATGCATCTTCTGTTTCAATTAGTTTTTGCTTGTTTACCTAATATTACTCAATTAACTAAACTAAGTTTAACAATAATAAAAAATAAATAATAACTCGAAACTAATAAAAACTAAATAATAACCTCGAAACGAAATTTAAAATTTTTAATCGGAAAATATTTAAACATTCATTCCCAATTCCGATTCACATCCTTCGTTTTCAGAGAAATATTCAGACATCTATTTTGCATACCACGTAGTCATTGCTAATTGATAAAAATTATTTTCCATTACAAATTAGTTTATGCACTTCTTTCTTTAATTGTTTTTCATAGGGATACGTCCATCATGCCGTCGCCAAAACTTTAAACTGTGTTGCATCCAAACAAGATCAGTCAAACGTATATTGTATATACTATATATATCCACATAGATCAAATCAACACAAGTCATCATCACCAATGCATATTAACTGGCAACAAAAGATAAAACCATATATATGCATAAAGTCAGAAAAGTCGTTCCACTTTAACAACATTTATAAATTCCTTTCTATTCGCAAGGGTTTTTTTCAATGTGCAAAGTATTTAAGTGTTTGAAAAACAAAGAACCAAAACCCCAAGTGTCATATTTGTTGAACCAAATTCAAATTGTTAAAATAAATATAAGTAAGGATTATTAAATCATTTTTCACAAATAAAATTGGCATCTTCAAATCGTCAAAAAGAAGTACGTACAGAAACCCCGAACATTAGCTTACAAAATAATATCCATGAAACATTCCCAAGTGATTAATGGCAAATTCTGTTAGGGTTTGACCCCCGGATCACGAAAATGCCACTGCAATTTTTTGAGTTTGCTTGTAAAAGATTTTTTTAATGTTCAAAAGGAAAAATTATGGCTTCGAAATTTTTCTTTAATCTGTATTGTTTCCACCCAATTTAGACAGTTTTTGAAATATATGATTGGATAAGTAATGCCTGCAAAGGAGCTCGACAAAGACGAAAAATGTGAATTTTGGACGACTGTAAGTCGGCTGTACATATCGACAGCCGATCAGATGCACAGCAATGACCATTTAGAAAAAATGATGTTAGTGGTAAGGCCAACATAAAATACAAGTCTTTAGTAAAACAAGAAAATATTATTCTGTCACCGCATCATTTAGGGATTTATGAAAAAATTCAGAACTTTCATACCTCAGGGGTCCAGCACTAACAGAATTTGCCATCAGTCGCTGGGACGCCTTTTGGCTGTAAACTACTGGAATTAATACATTTTGTGATTTTCAGTTAATCAAGCACGGTTATGTGTTTAAAACAAAATTAAATTTAAAACTATTAATGATAAAACCTTTTATTTTAAAAGATTAATTTTTTATTTCACAGGCAAAATTTGTAAATCCCACTAAGATGTCGAGAACGTTTTTAACATGTGTGTCTACCACATAGAGAAAATGTATATTTTCAACACAGCTTCATCTCAATGAATCTAAGGAGTCCTTTATAATTAACACAAACCAGTTAACTTAAGGGACTGTGTATAGGTTGTTGCATCGCTAGCTTATTTTTTATTCAAATCATTGCATGTCTAACAAACTGCTTTAATTTAACAAATTTGGTTTTTTAACCTTAAATAGCCAAGAAGCAAACGAATGTACCTAAAAATAAATTTTTATTTTGTGGCCAGGGAATTCTATCAAGTGGAGAGAATCTTAATCTTATTCTAATTGGACAGCGTTATCTACGGAATTAAATACTACATTAAATTAAAGCTGACTAGTCATATCGGTCGTTTATTTCTATTTGTATTTTTATGGACTGTTTGGCGTAAAATAAACTTAACATTAATGTTTTAAAATCTATCAGTATAAAAACAAGGGAAAACGCGTTTGAGAAGGCGAGACCCTTACAGAATCAAACTTGCGTTGCAAAAGATTATCCAGAATCGCCATGCTTATTACGAACTTTCCAGCTTGTATAGTTCCGAGATATCAGCGTGCATACGGACGATTTTGTGAAGCACGGCAACCTTTTGTTTAATAATAATATTCATATACAGGGGTGTCACGAAATCAAATCCAACCATTATTGTCCTTAAAAGAAAATCTTGGTGTCACAGAGAACTGTTAAAAAATAAGTATGCAATATACGAGGGTGGTCCGATAAGTACTTAGCCTCCAAAAAAAAAACGAACATTTTGGAAAAGTGGTGATTTTTTTCTCAACAAGATCAACATAATCAACATGATGGAAGAGCACTTTTTCTTCGCCAAGTGGGGCCGTATTTTCTGCGATTCGGCGATGAGTCGGCCCAATAATTCGGCATAATACAGCCCTGTGACCGTTTTGCCCTTCTACAGGTAGTCGATGTAGATCACACCTTGTGAGTCCCAAAAAACGGTGGCCATCACCTTTCCGGCCGATGGGACAGTCTTCGCCTTCATCGGAGCAGGTTCGCCGGGTGATGTCCACTGTTTTGACTGTTCCTTGGTCTCTGGTGTGTACCAGTGGACGACGCAGAAACTTCTTCGGATTGCGCTTAAACAGCGTCAAACATCGCTCTGAAGTGGTCTCACGGTTGCGTTTGTTGTCCGGAGTGAGCAAACGCGGCACCCATCGCGCCGACAGCTTTCTCATGCCCAAAATTTCATGGAGGATATGACCCACGCGTTTTTTTGACATGCCTACTGTCTCAGCTATCTCGCGTATCTTCAATCGGCGGTCTGCCAATACGAGACCGTGGATTTTTGTCACGTTTATCCTCCGTGGCTCATCAAAAACCGACGTGCGACCACGTCGAGTTTCACTTTAAACCAATTTTTGACGGTCGCCATCGAAGGAGAAGTGTCACCGTACACAGCGTCCAAGCGCTCTTTGATTTCGCTGCGCGATTTCCCTCCCAAAAACAAGAATCGAATCACAAACCGATACTGCTCTTTCTCCATTTTTCTTAAATCCGCCGACACGTCCGATTCCACACGCAGTCAAAACAAAACTACGAGTCCGATTAGGCTGAAATTTCGACAGTAGCCGTCTACGAAAATGTACTACACGATAGTAAATTTCTCTTGCGATAGTGACGCCATCGGGCGGTGAGGCTAAGTACTTATCGGACTGCCCTCGTAGCCAACCAAATAGTAGGTTCTTGAAAAAACTATAGAATCTGTGACACCGACGGTTTTTGGTTGGTTGGTTTCTGTGGAACCCCTGATATAGCTAATTATTCCATAAAATAAAACTGTTCCCAGACAGGAGCTACTTTCGCGCTCCGAATGCGATATCGCAGTCGATCGCTTTATCTTCTAAATAGAAGGGTACCAACATGTGTTTGTCAATCAGGCAACACGGTTTTTGCCAGTTTGCATTTATTTTATGCTCAGATTGGTTTTCCATTTCATAGGAACAACGTTTGGAAATCGTGCAATAATCAGCGACTTAAATGAAATTTTATTCGGGAATAAGGCTCCAAGATCGCGTGATATAACACGACCATTTTTAAAACGTGATGGTAAACCCGTTCCTATAGTAAAGCTAACTTCTTGCCCACAACATTAAATAACATGCATTTTATTTCTGAAAATCGCTAATTAAAAAATCTCGACCGCTGGTATAAAATCTAGTTGTTGCAAAATGTTCTTATATAACCAGGAATGTCACAGCAACCGTCGACGGTTTTGGGGTCGGTTGGCTAGAAAATTTATCAGCATAAAGCAAAAATATATGTGGGAGTGATATTACGAAAATCACCCTAACAATCACGACCCAGACAACGAGAATGACAAGCAGTAACACACATTCCAGAAGAAGACGGTCCAAAAGAAGTAAGGGACGAGAACAACGACGATAAGACGAGAAAGACGAGTAGAGGCAGTATTTGACGAGATCTGATCCAAAGAACACGTGCTTGTGTGAAAAGCAAAACGACTCGACGACGGTCTTAATTATACTCACATTGTGACATACCATATTTAATATTATTATAATTAATAATATTATTTAATAAAATAATAATTTGCAACCAGTGCCAATTCAATACAATGAAATGCCGCGTTTCGCTTTAAGTTTTCGCGATATAGAGGAATCTATAAAAAAATTCGAGGGCATAGACGAAATTCCAGTCGACGTCTGGATAAGTGATTTTGAAGATCAAGATGTACTTATGGGTTGAAACGATATGCAAAAGCTAATCTTTGCCAAAAAAATCGCTCAAAGGTATCGCGAAATTGTTTGTGTTGAGCGAGAAAGGAATAAATTCGTGGAGTGCTTTTAAAACGTGTTTGTTGAGCGAGTTCAGATCGAGAGTGAGCAGCAAACAAATACACAAGCAACTTGGAGAGAGAAAACGACGCGCAAGCGAAAGTGTACAGGAATATTTTTACCGTTTGAAAGATATTGCCTCGCGGGGAAATGTTGAAGAAGACACTCTCATCCAATACGTGATCGTCGGTATTGATGAACTCTCGATTAATAATTCGATGCTTTATGGAGCTAGAAACATGACCGAATTCAAATACAAATTGAAGGACTAACAAACGATCAGTGCAAAATCCCATTTTGGCGAAAACAGTGCTAAAGAAAAGAAAGCTCAAGCAGTGCACGGTGGTTCGAAAACTGGCAAGAAAGAAATCGTTTGCTAAAATTGTGGCGAGAAGGGACATCTGTCTAGTGGCTGCAACAACAAAGAGAAAGGCAGAAAGTGTGTGTAACAAATTCAGTCACATCTCCAAAAACTGCTCCCAAGGCGAAAAATTAGTCGAAGAGTGCAAGCCAAACGCGCGAGTTTTAAGTGAGCACAACAATATGACGAGCAAAGTTGTTTCAATCAAAAACCAAAATTGTGTCGCTCTATTCGACACAAGCAGTAAATATAATATTTTGCGCGAAGACATTTACGATGAGCTAGCTTTGCCGAAGCTGAGGGAGTGCAGTGTATACCTAATTGGATTTGGAAAAAATCGCAATGCCAATAAGATCAAGCCAATTGGACAGTGCAAGCAAGCAGTGTGGATCGACAGCAGTGGACAGGAGTTGAACTTCTTCATAGTTCCTCTCGATTGTATGGACACTCGTATGATCATCGGCGAGGAATTATGCTTGCGAGCAGAAATATCGTTCGGTCCAATTGGTTTGCGTGTGCGAAATTTAAATAACCTTTGCGAAGAGAACATCCCATCTAACTTGCTGAAAATTGACACGGTTATTAACAACGATGAACTTGATATAAACGAATCAGCTGGTGAGTGCGCGAAGCAAGAAGTGAGTGAACTAATAATGAATTACAAGCCGCTTAAATCGAAGTCGACAAACATTGAAATGAAAATCCTTCTAAACGACGAATCGCCAATTTTCTCGCGTCCGCGCAGATTCGCTTTTGCTGAAACGAACGTTATCGACGAGCAGATCGAGCAATGGTTGGATAACGGTATAATCGAGGAGTCCGACTCCGAATTCACAAGCCCAGTAGTGCTTGCGAAGAAAAACGACGGACGACTCTGCGTAGATTTCAGGCGTATAAACAAGGTAATCGTAAAAGATCATTTTCCGTTGCCCCTGATTGACGACCAGCTCGACCGCCTGCAAAAAGCGTTGGTATTCAGCACAATCGATTTGCGAAATGGCTTTTTCCATGTGCCAGTCGCCGAATCTAGCAGGAAGTACACCTCATTCGTGACGCAGAGTGGGCAATACCAATTCCTAAAGGTGCCTTTTGGTTTGTCAAACTCACCAGGTGTGTTTCAGAGACACATAAATGCGAATTTCCGAACTCTGTCCCGTAGAGGAATCGCTCTCCCTTATGTAGACGACATAATTATCCCAGCGAAGGACGAAAAGGAGGCGGTGTCGAATCCCACCGAAGTTATATCAACTTGCAGCGAATATGGTCTCGAGCTTAACCTGAAGAAATGCCATTTTCTGCAGACCCGTATCCAGTTCTTAGGTCACATTATCGAAAACAAAACCATTTCTCCGACTCCTCAAAAGATCGACGCAGTTTCGAAATTCAAGACGCCACAGAACCTCAAGCAGCTAGAAAGTTTTCTAGGTCTCACAGGATACTTTAGAAAGTTTATCCAAAATTATGCTCTGATTTCGAAACCCTTGACTGACCTTACCAAAAATAAAGCTGAATTTATTATTGGCCCTGATGAAGAGAACGCTATAGAATCCCTAAAGAAATACCTGACTTCCACACCTGCTTTAGCTATTTACAACCCGAAGTACGAAACCGAGGTACACACTGACGCCTCCATAGACGGGTTTGGCGCCGTGCTTTTGCAGAAATCAGCTGACGACGGCCAATTTCACCCAGTCTACTTTATGAGTAGGAAAACCACGGATGCGCAGCGTAAATATTCCAGCTACGAATTAGAGGTGCTAGCGATCATCGAAGCTATAACCAAGTTCAGAGTTTATCTCCTTGGCATCCCATTCAAGATTGTCACCGATTGCAATGCATTCACCAAGACGCTGGGCAAGCAAAGTCTGTGCACTAGAGTGGCACGTTGGGTATTATTGCTTCAAGAGTACGACTACAAAGTCGAACACCGTTCAGGTATGAAGCACGTTGACGCTCTCTCCAAATACCCAATAATGACCATCGTTGACGACTCCGTAGCCCTTGGCTTTAAACAAGCTCAAGAAAAGGACGAACACTTGAAGGCTATCTGCAAAATTATCGAAGACTCTGACTCACCCTACGACGACTATTTTCTTAAGTCCGGAATCTTATACAAGATTGTCAACGACGCAGAACTTCTTGTTGTTCCCAGAGACATGGAAAGACAGATCATAGCCAG